CAGCCTTGGGCTCCCAACTTTTTGACCTCTCTAATCTACAATATTATGTAGACAATGTTCTAGTATATACAACTAGTAATAAACAACTTATAATTTAATGACCCTTTAAAACCAATCATTGTGCCAAAAAAAAAAAAAAAAAAAAAAAAAACATGCTTATGTTATTTACGACAAGTATTTGAGACAAATGATGCCCCCCTCACACGGACAAATTTAATCAAGATGACTCTCCTTCTATTCCAATATATATAGGAGGATCCCAAAAGTCACATGATGAACAATCCAGATTTGAGGGCCATTTCATTTGGATTGCTCTTAAATTTTGAATTTTGAATTCTTTGCTTCATAATATTCCTAATGTATGGATAAAATACAATTTAATCAATAAAAAGTAAATATGCACATATTATACCAATCAATCAGACAAGCATCCACATTAAATTATGTACATGACCTACTGGTAAATAGTGTTATTATTAGCAACGGAAAAAACTTGGTGATAAATCATGTTACCTATAAGCTAAGAACATAAATTAGAAGACTGCCTATAAGTTAGGAACATAAATTATAAGACTACCTATAAGTCATGTACAAAAATAGACAAAATAAAATTATGTGTTACCTATAAAAATATAAAATAAAATAAAAGGTACATAAAATACTATTACACATTGTTGAAAATATGAAAAAACACATATCAATAGGCAATAGGCAATATGACATAAAATGACTATTACCCGATTCAAGTCATAAGGGGCTACATTGTAACAAAAAATGATTTTTAAAAATAAAATAATAAAAAGATTACATCATAAAATATTAAAAAATGAATGTAATTCTATGTGGCACAAAAGTCAAAGGACTTGGATCAAAGTCACCAAATCCGAGGATTAAACCCAACTCCTCAATGGAAATTTAGATATATATCAACTTTCTATTAATTCAAAGTTGTGTCAAAGACAGTAGAGTATTGGTGACCACACGAAAGCAGGAAGTTGCTATTATGATGGGAGCTTCCACTCATATGATTCATTTGGAGGTGCTGAGTGAACAGGATTGTTTGTCAATATTCAAACAGATTGCATTTTCTGGTAGGGAAAAATATTAGTCTCAAGCATTTGAATCTATTGGCAAAGAGATTGCAAAGAGATGTAAGGGTTTGCCACTTTGCCGCAAAGACTATGAGTGGTATGATGCGTTATAAGAAAACCATGAAAGAATGGCAAGATGTGTTGGATAGTAAGGTATGGGATCTGCAAGAGATTGAGCAAGAGGTTTTCCAACCACTCTTACTTAGTTATTATGATTTGGCACCTGCGATCAGACGTCGTCTTTTATATTGTGCTATTTTTCCAAAAGATAATGAATTCAACAAAGATAATTTGATTGAGCTGTGGATGTCCCAAGATTTTCTTAACCTGAAAGGAAACAAAGAAAAGAAAATAATAGGCCAAAGATTTTTTGATAACTTGGTAATGCGATCTCTCTTCCAAGATTTGGAAAAAGATTATGACGGAAATATTAGGAAGTGCAAAATGCATAACATTGTGCATGACTTTGTGCAGTTTCTCACCAATAATGATTGTGTTCGTACGGAGGCTATGGGTACTAATAAGAATGAGATAGAGCTCTTGAGTGCTAATGAAAAAATAGGGCTAGGGAATGACAAGGTCCGCCATTTGACCCTAATGTTTGCACCGAAGAGCCCATTTCCATTATCTATTTCATCTTGCAATTTCAAAATCTGCATAGCCTCACAGCTTTCGATTCAAAAATCACGACTATACACTCAAATTTAATTTTGGAATTGAAATGTCTTAGGACATTAAGTTCGAGTTATAATCTTATCGAAGAAGTGCCAGAAGAGATTGGTGAACGTACATTTGAGGTGTATTGACTTATGTCATAATCCTTCTTTGAAGAAGTTACCGAACACAGTGTGTGATTTGTACAATTTGCAAACGTTGCGCTTTATTGGGTGCAAGGAACTTGAAAGTCTACCTCAAAGCATGGGGAAGTTGATCAACTTAAGTCATCTTTATGTTCAGGGTTGTGATAAGCTCAAGTACTTGCCATAAGGGATTATGAGATTAACAAGTCTGAAGACACTAGATGAGTATCATGTTTGTGGCAGTGACAACAATGAAGCACTGAAACTGGGAGACCTGGGAACCTTGGAAGGTGGTCTTAGAATAAGAATTTGGTAAGATGCCAAAGATGTTGCTGAGGCTGAGAAAGCACAATTGTGGAACAAAAAGCAACTTTCTCATTTGGAACTAGTTTTTGAGAATTTTCAAGGCAAGGAGAGAAGAAGCAACAGTGTAGAAATACTGAATGTCTTACGACCGCACCAAGATTTGGAGTATTTAGGCGTAAGGTTCTATCATGGCACCACTGGTCCTGTATGGATGATGTGTTTACGCAATCTGAGAGTCCTTATTCTTCATAGATGGAATGAATGTAAGTTTTTGCCTCCTATTGGTGAATTGCCGTCCCTTGAAAGACTGATCTTATCAGATATGAGGAAAGTGAAAAAGGTTGGAGATGAATTTTTGGGAATAGAAAATCAAAGATCAACAAAATCATCCTCATCTAAAATTGAAACACCTTGGACTTGTAAGCATGTGGGGTCTGCAAGAGTGGGAAGGAATGGGATGGGTGAAGGAAGAGCATACTGATGGAATTACCATAATGCCATGCCTTTTCCTTAAATTTTACTTTTTGCAATAGCCTAAAAACACTGCCAGGCTTCCTGCTAAAATCACCACTGCAGAATCTTTCCTTCTTTCATTGTTGGAGTCTTGCGCAAAGTTACAGAAAAGGCACCGGAAAGGAGTGGCCCAAGATTTCTCACATCCCAAACATCACCCTGATCATGATGATGAGGATGATGGGATTCTACAAGAAAAGGATGTGGCAATCCTATCCACCTCTTCTGGTTAGAGGCTTACTTTCTCATCTATCTATTTATTTATACATTCATTTACCATATTTAGTGTTCATTAATCAGATTTTTTTTGTTGTTGTTTCTTTCTTATGTTTGGAATCATCATATAGTAGCTCAGCATGATATTCTTGAAGAAGCAATGTCTACGTAAGATATCCATCTTCTCTAGGCTTCCCTCGCCTCATCATCTTGTACCATCAAAAGGTATACATTTCCTACTTAAACTTACTTCCTTCTGGTTCGTATACGTAGTACATAAAGTCATGCATTATTTTATCATGTGGCTTGGAACAGCTATTTCCTTAAATATTTAGTTATTTTTTCTATCACTTGTGTCAAATTTCAATGAACTGTTGGTCAAAATTCAAAACTAAATACCAAGGAATTGAATCAGTTTACCTTGGGCACAAAAATAAAGGAAAAGAAAGAATGCAGAAAGTGTTAATCTTAAAAATGGATTTGAATATTTCAGTTTTTTAAATATAGCTTTTTGCATATGTACCTGTTGTTTCTTGTGTGATTATTTCTTTCATCATTTGGAAGAAGGGTTTGAAATGACCTTTCACTTTTGGCTTCTATAAACATTCATATACTTTGTTACACTAAGACGCTGAAAACCAATTTACTGCAAGCCTATCTTCTGTTACTGTGAAATTATGAAATTGTTCTTTCATTGTACGGTCAAAACAAAGCGCACTTGTTCTTTCATCTGGCCTGGTATCAATTTCAGTACTGATCCCAAATTTGGCAGATTGGGATTATGTTCTTGAATTCTTAACAAACTCATGGTAATATGGCATGAAAACCTAGCAAAAGATTTATGTTTTGTTACCATGCTAATCTGTCACAAGATGGATCGTCTAGGTAGACTAGCTAGATATCATTCATATATATTTGATATTGAAGAATTGGCTTCTGAATCTTCCAAACTTTTTCTGTTATGTTAATATGCTCCATCTCTCTCATCTACTATATAGACAATGTCCTAATACGATCAAGTTATGAATATTTAGATCTAACAAGCAACTTATGAATACTTACAGGGCGGACGCACAAAGGAGCAAAGGGGGTCACTGGCCCACTGTTTTCAGAAAATTTGTTCTCTGAGTTTTTGAACACTGGTCACCACCTCACCTATGGAGCCTGAAGTAATCAGAGAGCTTTAGCGGTAAGCATCTCAATCTGCACCAACGTCATAGCATGTTAGGCCCTCTCTTGGGTTCTCATCTACTGCACCAACTCCTACAAGCCTCTATGCTCCACACAGACAACATTGTAAAGAAGGTTGAATACTAAACAAGGAAGACTTTTGCAGAACCAATGGGAGCGCACGGAGCATGATGAATGAGTTTGCCTTTATAAATGCAGAAAAAGCGCGAAAAGAGAAAGTGAAAAACCAGTGCGAGAAATCAGAATGAGGAGCTACAGAGGTTACATTTAGCCTCTGAGATGAAAATACTGTTATGCAAGCAACATTACCCTCACAACAAGAGTTAACAGGATAAGAAAAGAAAATCATATCTTGTGTAAGTTGTGTTATAGTGCATTTATGCTATATGTTAAGCAATGTTTTATCATGTGGCTTGAAACAGCTTTTGCCTTAAAAAAATTCTGTGACTTTGTGTTTAATTTCTATGAAAAATTCTTCGAAATTCAAAATGACCAAGGATTGAAGAGTGCAATCGGTGTTCATTTCAATAGAGTTGCATAAGACTTGCAGAAACAATTATCCTTTACTTTTCAAAGCATACCTTAGTTAATGATTGGCAATTCACATTCTATCATAAATTAACATGCATACAAGATTTTGAGACTGATTGACGAACAAAAACTGTATCTGTTACTTTCTTCCACTTTTTAACTCAGCAATCGGCATCTCGGGGAGATGAGAAAGGAGGGAAGATGTGAATTACAAACCAAACTGGACTAACAACTGAAATTTGCCAATTGATTAAACAACCCCTTACAATACCCTTGGACAGACTTGGATTGAACGAATCACAATTGATTAAAGCGAAGGTTCTGTAACTTGTAAGGCTCCCGGAGGAAGATGTAGGCGGAAACCCTAGATTAAAGTAGATTAGATATCAAAGTCATGAGACTATTCCTGCTACATTGTTGTATGTGGATAAATATTACAGATTCATGCTTCAAATGGAAAAACCACAAAACTACCATAAAATCCCAAAACTCTAAACAGGGTCAAAACATACACGAGCAGTAATGCCGTTTTCCCATGAAAAAAGTCCAGTGCTGCCTAAAACCAATAAACCAAGATACAGAAATAAACACAAAGTCTTTCCTAGTCGCAAGGAATCTCTCAAGATTGCATGGCATTGGTATCATCTTCATCACCTTCCTCACTGAACATATACTGACTCTGATACTCCATTAAGTACTGTGTTGATCTCTTTACGTCCAAAAACAGATGGTAAACTCGGTTAATATCCTCCATCTCCACAATATTTCCCTTCCGCTTTTGGCATGCCAAGGCAGAAGCTGTTATGAGATGGATAGCATATCTCAAGGATGCATCAACACCAATCTTGGTCAACAAATGCTTTGCCTCTTCAGACATCTCAACTTCTTCTTCTTGGCATCTGATGTCCAGAATCTTACGAATTTCATCCTCTGTGTAAGGCTGGGTGGTAATGATAAGCAGGCGATCAAGGAGGTCAATAGGAATCCCATGGGGGGATTTATAGTTTGTGCCTCTGATGGTAGTGATCCCTCTGTTGGTAGCAACAACTAATATTGGAGCCATCTCATTCTCCAAAGCACGATTCAAAAATGAAAAGCACTCAATGTCAAGCATATGCACCTCATCAATAAAGAGGACACCTGGCACAATCTCTGCCTTCCCTTCCTCCCTCCACTCTGCCACCTTTGTGTCAATCTGTTCTCTCACTTCTGAACGGATTTCACCAGTATCACCAGTAAATAGAGCCAGAAATCCCTGTGTTCTGGAAAAGCAATACAGTATAATCAAAGAAATGTCATATTAATCCACAGCCAATACTGAGACTAAAGTAGTGGCATTGCAATGGATGTTTTATCATCCAATGCCACTAGAACAGTAAAATAATGAGGACTAAAACAGGCACATTTATCATGATAATAACTGTAACTCCAATCCAAAACAAATCAAGATTGATAAATATCTTGAAATTCCTAAAATATTTTGTAGATTTCTGTGCATGTGTTCACTCTCACCAAAACTCAATTGCAATTTCAGCTCCAAGCTTCATAAAATTCAGATTTTGGTGGAGTTAACCTTCCCTGAAGTTTCTTCAGGTTAGGTTTTTTCGAGTTTGGTTGGAAGCTGACCAAATGTAGGTTTTCCTAAGGGCATTGTATTTAAAAAATAAAACCCATCTAAAATATGCAGGCACCAATAGACGCAAACAGCTGGGGAGTCAAAGCAAGTTTGCCTGGAAGGTGGCTCAATGATAATGCTGATATTAGACAAGGGCCTCTTGGAAAGGCTAAATCCTATGCCATTCCCCTCTTCTCCCCTTCTCATATGATTCATTAGTACACCAAATGGGAAAAATTATTATCATTTTTTTTAAATTAAAGAAATGTAAGAAACTCGGTAAGCAGATCCGTCGACAGAGAAAAATCTCACAACGGCCGGCCAGTAAACTTCCCAATTATTCAATTTGGCTACAGCCACTTTGGCAATTCAAGATCAAGGGTACTGATTCTTATTTGAAACCCTTCTCTCGGTACATGTAGCCTCATACAATCCACATTTTTTCTTTCGAAAACAGAAAAACATATACACAGTTTTTGTGATTTGGTGGACCAACACAGTTGAAAATTAGCGAGGACGAGAAAAGCTTCTACCTTCTAACTTATACGCGATTGTAATCTCTACAGAGTTGAAAAAACTTCTACATGAATAGAATCTTACCACACAATGTTGTAGAACTCAAATAAAGCCCACATAAATCAAAACTGAGGTACAAAACCTCCAACTCAGACACAGAGTGGTAGTCCCCTACACCGCTGATAACTACGTTATGTGAAAATGATTCATATGCACTCTAGATAGAGCCAGTATGTGAAAAGATAAAAATGTAAAAACCAATTACACTTACAATTCACCAGTGAATACCAAATTAGGAGGCTAATTGCAATTTTCCCAAGATTATTATATAACTAACAATCATAAATTCATAATTCATAGCAGCATGCTCTCAATATTAGTAATTATGAACAACACAAGCTTGAAGCTGAGATTTTCAAGTACCTGCTGTTGATGACATCAATCTCATGAAGGGTGACACAATGCACCACCTCCTTGCGCTTCTGCAACTCTCCATCAGGGCACTGCATGAACTTGATGTGCGGTCCCATGGCGTCATAGTCCCTCGACCTCGAAAACGACCTACCAAGCTTTGTAATCTTCCCAGAAGCTTTATCAATAGCAATCACATCCCCACTCTGCACCTTCTCCTTCCCCAAAGCCTCAATCATTTTGGCCCCCAAGTCATACACCGTCTCCATCTCCGTTGTCTTCAAAGTCAACTTCCCGGTCTTCGAAGCCGCTCCAGCCACCGCAGGCCGGTCAATCTGAACCTCCACAACCTCACCTTCGATGACCTCAGTCTCTTCCTTAATTCTAACCCCAATGGCTTTCCTAAAAGCTTGCATTAGGGCTTCGGTCTTGGACATCTCGAGAGAGAAGAGCTCGCTTCCGGCTAACATAGCGAAGGGGGTTTCGAGGCCGAGCGACTTGGCCATGCCCATGGCGATGGCGGTCTTTCCGGTTCCGGGTTGACCGGCCAACAGTACGGCCCGACCCGCGATCTTGCCTTCTTTGATCATCTGGAGAATTACGCCGGCGGCTTTTCGCGCCGAGGTCTGGCCCACCATGCCCTCGGAGACGTCACGGGCTTCTAGGGCAGAGTCGAGGCCGAGCCCTCGGATGTGGGAGTGTGCGCCTATGCGCTCTATTCGAGTTAGGTCCCGACTCTCTGAGAGCTTTAGCTCCGCCATGGCTGAAAACTGAGAAGCTCTGTGAAGGGTTTTCTTCAGTGGCGAAGTGACGGAAAAACTGGCGGCGGCGTGCGAAGAGTGAAGAAGAGTGAAGGGTTCTCTCTTCAATGGCTAATTTGTTTTGCTGTTGCCTCCCGTCTTTCTTTTAATCTCAGCCGTCTAAACCGTTAATATGCTTGAAAGGAGAATCTTGAGGCTGAAAATATGCCACGTTAGCATGAGGTTTTTTGTTCCCCGTATTCGTTCCCTCCATTTTCTAATAGTTGTTCCATTTGGAACATCATAAACCCTACTCAACTTGAAGACCCCATTTTTACCTTCTAAACAGACGACTTTTATTTGACAGGGATGATCCCTTTTGCTTTTGTGAATGAAAAATCCTTTTTTTTTTTCCAATATAAAAAAAAGATAAGGGAAATTTTTGGATATTTCTTTTAACATACTATACAATCTTCAAGTTAAATCCAAGTTACCATGACCATCATGCTCGGAATGGAAGAAGTCGACAATTGGGGTACCTAGGATAGGGGAATTAAGGAATTGAATCAACTACTTCCCTAATTCACCCCACTTCTTATGAAACTATTATAATTTTTGAGTGGTGATTTCCCCACTCCAATTTTATTCACTTACACTCCATTTTATAACTAAAAAAGGAGTGTAAGTGTATAAAATTGGAAGTGGGAAAATTATTACCCTAATTTTTTAATCCCCTTTTTTTCGGTCGAAAGTATATATATATATATTTTTTTCTTATGCATTAGTCTGGGAAGTCAGAAATTGGACTCATTTCTAATACCATTTCCTGATAAATAAACATATTATGCATGGAAATTCAATATCTGGAGTTCCCTCAAGTAAAATCAAGTGCACCTATGGATCTTTAAAAGGTAAAAGAACTCAAACTTCTTTCACCTTGTTGCAAATACAACAGTCCCATCGAACTAACCATCCAAAACCATGATCACATTAGACACTGAAAATGAATGGCACAAGACACCATGATAATAGAGCGAATATTGTCATATTACTCTAGCAGACGTTTCTTTGTCAACCATCAAAACTCAATTTGGCTCTCCTTCACAGAACATCCATCCATCGGATGAACACAAACACATATAAAGCATTGACACAGAAAGCAAATATATATTATTTTCTGAATGAAGCAGAAAATCATATTTGTAACAAGATGTTGCAGAATATCTTGTTGAACGCACCAAAATTTCTCAAGAATGCAAGAAATTAAGGACTCAACAGCACTTGCATTTTGTGAAACCTAAGTGAGGCATGAGGCCAAATGTTGAGCAATTTCAGGGTATCGAAGAGAGTCTTCTGAAATTGCACAAATAGCAGCTTTGCAATATATGCTATGCAACCAACTTGGATTTCATACTAGACTATTCAAGTGCATGAATTTATTAAAAATGTCCAAACTTGAGAGATTCATTTACATAAGATAAAATGAGATGCATTCTAACTTTCAAAATTCATAAGAAATAAACATGTGTTGAAGGACATAGCCGACGTAGAATTTACCCCCAAAAAGGGTTCCTTTTACTTACTTTAATTTCTAAAACTACATGTCATGAAGCAAGAACAGTACCTTACCAGAATGTTGATTAACACATAAATTAAGCCAGGTTTCTCTGTCCATTGTCTTCAGTGTCACCAAGAGTACGTTTAAAAGCTACATGTATGTCTACGGTTTTAAGGTCTGCCTACGTGATATTCTAAAAAGAATGCCAGCCAATCAATCGAAACTGTAGGAATAAAAGAAAAGGTATGCATTACCTATTTTCTTTTCGAAACTGTAGTCCAACACAACAAGAAATTTGGGGACACAATATTTATTTTTCTTATGGCCTGCAGAACAACATGAAACCTCGTTGAGGAAGAAAATCAGAAAGTTAAACTGATTTGCATTAACTCTGGCAGAAATGCTTTTGAAAAATCACTTCATAAATTGGAAGTCTGAGTTCAACACTTCAACTGGAAAGGACAAAAAGGCCAGTATACAAACAGACACTGCAAGTTAAACTATATCAAAAAAAAAAATTAAAAAAAAATACCAACAGATTTTTGGAATACATTATCCACTTCATGCTAGACTACAGAACCTGCTACTCAAATCTTCAGCCAAGCCTGTTCTGCCTGTCTTGGAGAGCTCTTTCAAAACTTTCGTATACACTGCAAAATCCGGTTTCAGACCCTTATTAATCATGTCAATCAGAATATTTTGGGCGATGACTACATTTCCTTCATTCATATAAAGCCTTGCAAGCAAACTGTAAACTGAATTGCTAAAGCAACTGTATTTAACACTTGAATCAACAACATGCTCATATGCTTCTTTATATCTCCGCAAGTTAAAATAACCCTTGACAAAGGCTGCATGCGATGTAAGTCGAGGTTTAATGCCCTTCAATACCATACTATCAAGTAACTTGTGTGCAAAATCAAAATTTCCAACTTTACATGAGTAACAAATCAGTATTTCGTAGGTTATTTCATCAGGAGAACAATTCATTTCTAACATTTGTTCAAACAGTTTAGTAGCTTCGGCAGATTTGTAGTTCTTATATAAGCTACCGAGTATATAGTTGTAAGTTTTGGAATCTGGGTCACAACCGACTTGCCTCATCTCATCAAGCATATCAATAGCTCTGCCAAAATTTCTTCTCCGACAACTTTCTCTTATCATGATATTGTAATAAGATCTCTTCCTCTCCGTTATTTTCATCACAAACTCGGCCATTTTAAATGAACCCTTGACACTGAGCATCTCAATCAAAGAGAGCAAACCAATGGATCGACACGATCCACCAACTTCATTCAATACCTCTACCACTTTGATAACAGAAGCCTTCTTTGACGACGAAACAGATATAAACTCAAATGCATTCCGTGTGAGACAAATTCCCTCCGATCGAAAGTCATTCATAATGTGAAGCATTGCATGGTAATCATCTAACCGCCCACAATTATCAATAACCAAGCTACAAATATCATTTCCATAACAACTAATGGGCTGTGAATTCTTAATCCAATCAAATAAACACAAAGCAGATACTTTTTTGGAATTCAACACCTGAAAAATCTGAGCAATGGAGGCAATAGATAGACTTACATTCATCGAATTCAACTTGGACGCCAAATCATTCTCACCCCTTCTAATCATACCAACAATTTCCAAAACTTGCTTCGAAGTCGGTCCAATCCCATCAATACCCACTTTCCCCAACCCATGATTCTCATCAGAACCTGAATCTCCTGGTGGCGAGGGAGGCTTGAACGCATCAGAAGGCGCAGTTGAAAATGCCTGAAAGCGTCCATGATATTGATCTTTAAGCAAGTAAAGATTCACGAACAGGCCCTTATCAACACCACTCGTGTACAAATGTAAAGATTGCAACTTTTGAGAAGATGGGGCTGCTGAAGTACAAACTGCGGAAGAACCGATTGATGAAATCAAGGAACTCACTGAATAGCAAGCAGATTTCGTGTGAAACTGATTTGAATTCAAGAAATTACCAGAAGAGTGCTCATGCGAGGCTAGGGTTTTGGGAAGAAAAATGGGATCATGAAATGATGGTCTGGATTGTGATAATAGGGTGTCAAGATTGTGAGAGTTGGAGAAGTACCTGAACCTTTTCATGGTGCTAGTATCTTCAAAGTGAACATCGACTGAGCTCACAGCGCAAACAGGGTAGAGCCGTCAAAGGAAAATGAAGGATCTTCAAACTGAACATCGACAGAGCATGAGCTCACAGAGCTATATTTAATATATATATATATATATATATATTACATAGCAGGAGATAATAGGCTGAATTATCTCTGACGTTGCTCCCTGCAACACCAGATAGCACAAAACCCCTAATTTGGAGAAAGACTTCTATGAAACGAGTATCCCAGAAAAGCAAAATAGTGTTATCACTATTGGAACCAAAATTTTCTCCCTACGGTGCCCAGGGTTTCAACCGGTCCACTTTCAAAAACGGCCCAATGCCATGGAACATTTAGCATTGAAAAGAAACGAAATTACAAACATGCCACTTTAGAAGCTCAAAAAACCGCTTCAGTTGTAGCAATATCGCTATTGGCCATAATAATAATAAAAAGTACGGCAATATTAGATGGTATGATATGTGTTGCGCTCAAATTTATAAGGAATCCGCTAAACACTTCGCCCATGGTTGGAACCTCTTCTCCATATGGTTGTGGCTGGTCCCGACGCCAATTACAGGGTGATAGGAATCGGGATTGTAGACTACGAGTGCATATTCGGGCTAAACCCTTTAGACATACCTTCTCCTCGATATGCAATGCATTGTGCGCCTCTTGCCACAAGTGATGTCGCCGTAGTTACCACAGGGCACGACATCTCTGTTCATGATTACGAGATCAAGGAGTATATTTTTAGGTAGACGTAGTGAATTTCAATGATGTGAGATACTTGCTTTATTTAGCATATACTTTATTTTTTACGATGGACTCATGAGTGAATTTTATATGCGGATGTATTAGACATGTCTTGCTTCCTTGTAATATCTAAGTTTAGGTTTATATTAATCGTGCACTTGACTTATTTTCACCTACTTGAGTGAGTATAGCCACCTCAACTTCGAGTTCTGTGAAATACATAGGTTATGGCTTTGTTTTTTGAGCAAAATCAATCCCGATCCCATCTTACATTATAGGCTAACTTCGTGGGGGGATATGATTATCCTTTTTCAAATATTGAATGAGGCTTGGCGTTTCAGTTCCTCACATAAGACTACTTTTAAAATTTGAAAATTTGCATTATTATCCGAACCGGCTATGCTATCTTGAATGATACTATAAAAAGAAACTTTAAGAATGAGTTTCGAGTACCTGGATCCCATGGCTCACAACTGTAGGTTGAAACTTCACTTCCACCTATACTTTGACATTCCCAAGAAGGGCTGCTTTTCCAAGAAAAGAAGTGTTAAGGTAATTGAGACTCGCTCTGGTTGGGGTTCTTCATCAAGTTCACCAGTATGGTCATCCGATTGCTCCAAACTCCCGAACTCATTACCCAATTATGAGTGGAAGTCCATGACTCAATTAAGATTCGATAACATATGCGGACCTCACAAGAATGAGAAGGGTGACCCTAGTCCTTTTCACTCCTTTTCACTTAACAAGTGATAACTCCAGTGGCGAAGCCAGGATTTCATGTGTGTGGGGGCCTCTTACAAATTATAAAGAATCAAAAGTTCGAACTCACAATACATACGAACAATAGTATATATATCACATATGTCAAGAATTATATTGCTTATTGGTTGCAATCATAATTGTTCTCAACAAAAGGATAGACAAATGCATTTTAAGCAAGAAAAATTGTAAGAGATAGACAAAGAGTAGCGATTTAGCAAATATCTTTAAAGCTTTTTCCCCCATTAAACCCAATAGAAAGAAAAAATCAAAATTTCACAAACTAAAAAAAACCTTAGGTCCCTTCATGCATTCATATCATACATGAAAAAATGTTTTATGTAAAAATATTGACTAAGTATGAAAAATGGTTTTTTGAAATAATCATTTTCTCAAGATAATTTTTTGCGGCTTTTATTCCTTACACATCAAATAAGAAAACTTGATTTTATGGGATTTTAGTATAAAGTATATACTGACTTAATGAGCCATCATTTTTAGCTCAAATCGTATTTTGCACTAAAAATGATTTTTCATATTTTGATTTGGTGGGAATTTGATTTTCTAGTATTTTTATCTGAATCCAAATATGGGGTACTTCCTTCTTTACATAGTAAACTAAGCAAATGGACAATTTAAAGCACCTCATTGTGCCTTAATAGATCCGCCACAACAAATGTGGGTACATATCAAAACATAAAGTATTTGAAATAATATACATATAGAAATACATAATAGTATATTACTTTTAAAATATATAAAAACTTGAGTGGGGGCCCGGGACTACACTGGTCTCAGTGTGGCTCCGCCCCTAGATAACTCTAGCCCTTCATACTTAGTAAGGGATAACCTGGTTCGTCGCGTCTCAAGCGTCGCCACCTGCACCCTAAACTCTAAACCTGCAACCCAATACGAACAAAGAGACTTTCCCATGGACAATGTATTACATGATGAAAAAGGTGACTAATCATATGGAAAATGTTGCTTTATTAATTGAACACTAATTAATCATAATGTGGGTCTTCTATTGAAAATATTAGCAATGAGATTCTTTATACTCCAATTTGTTCATAATTATTGAAAAATGTCACTTACATTGACAGATTTGCAATGGCAAACGTTTCCAACAGTAATATAAAATGAAAAGGCCTCAACGTAACTTGCACCCATGGCATGATTGCAATGGCGCACGTCTAATTTTCCGAAAAAAAAAGAAAGAGAATAATACACGTCGAATTTATCGTTGTGGAAAGGCCGCATTTTCGTCCGAAGACTTTCCCTTTTCCGCTGAATATAAAAAAGGCCTCCACATGAACGGTCTACACGCGCATCACGCTACAAAATTAACAATAAAAAATATGCGCCACTAAAAGTGCGCCACGTAATCAAAACCTAGGGCCTGCGGCACACCACGTTCCCTCCTTGCTTGTTCGTCTAGAATATTCTAGTGCCCTAAAAATAAATAAATTGAGAGTTGCTTCCTAGAAAGCTCGCTGCGGTGCGTCTCTCGCAAATCAAAACTCCCTCGTCTGCAAACCCTAAATCTCTCTCTCTCTCTCTCTCTCTCCAGAAATGGCGTCGTTTGCTGAAGCACCACCCGGTGATGCAAAGGCCGGGGAGAAGATCTTCAAGACAAAGTGCGCTCAGTGCCACACTGTCGAGAAAGGCGCCGGTCACAAGCAGGGTAATCTTGTCATCTATCCCTCGCAAAATCCCAGATTTCGTTTATTTTTTTGGTGATTGATTTTAATAATTTGCTTGTGCCTTGTTTGGATCTGACAATTATAAACCCTTTTTTTTGTACGCGTTGCCCTGATAATAGATTTTCGCTTTAGTTTCTATTTTTTCTATGGATTGTTTGATCTCTGTGTATAATTAGAGATCTGTTCGGCTTCTTTATCAAGTTATTCGTCGTTTTGTTTTGATATATAATTTTCCTGTTTGGTTGCTGAGAAAGCGTGAGGAAACTAACGAGATTTTCGTGTTTTTCTTAGAATATGAATGGTTCTTTATGATTTTCCATCTTAGTGAGAAATGAAAGCTACATTAAACTAAACAGCTATGTATATTATGCAACACCTGACGGTGATTGTCTCTTTTGTTGCTACTGTAGTTTATTGTTATGTATAAGGTTATTTCTGTAAATTAAATTCTAGAAAATTTTAGGGCTAGTGGTCTGTTAAGAAACTAGATACGTCACGCCGGATTAATGAAAATTGGTTGCACCATTGATTCTTTTCTTAATGCATAGCTGACATTAAATTTTGAATTACTGCCTTAGCAACTGTATACAGTTTGGCAACCTATAGATGTTATGTTGGATTGATGGATGGGTGAGCTTTGCTTTCAACTTTTACAACATCTTGATGAAATTTGGTGCACCATTGATACTTTCCTTTTATGACTTTAAGTTTTAAGTGGCTGTCTTAGTGACTGTATACAAATGTGTTGCATCCGGTATCCTGGATTGTCATTTGTATAAACTTGCATTTATAATTTGACATGTATGTGGACGCACTTGATTGTTCAGCTTCTCTATCAATGGGGAATTTGTACTCAGACAGTTTTGCTCGTTCTCAGTTCAATTAAAGATTATTATTAAAGTTGTCTAATTAAGATTATTAAAACTTTCAGGACCCAATCTGAATGGCCTTTTCGGGAGGCAGTCTGGTACAACCCCTGGATACTCCTATTCTGCTGCTAACAAAAACATGGCCGTGAATTGGGAGGAAAAGACATTGTATGATTACTTGCTGAACCCCAAGAAGGTATGAATTTACTTAATCCACCTTGTCTACCTCACGGCTCATGGGATTCATGGGGTGCTAATAGTCACAGCCTAAAACACATTAATTTTTTAGGTACATACTAGCTGTAGTTGCAACAAAATCAAACTTCTTTTTCCCTCTTTCATATTTTGTGCTGTAGTCTTACGCGCATGATGTTTGGTGTAGTCTTAGAGGGGAACATATTCCCTCCAATTTCATTCAAGCATTTTGGGTTACATATGGTAACCATGTAGAGTCTATGAGAACTCTTACTTAATGGATATCACATTGTACAAATTGCCGAAAGTGTAAGAAATTGAGTGTAAGTGAAAGGGGAACGAGGTTTGTGTTTAAAAGTTTTTTTAATCACAATTTGATTTATAAGTGAGGATAGAAAAGCAGAGATTTCCTCTTTGCTCTGGGAAACAGTTCCTCTGAATGAATGAGATTGGAAGCCGGGTTGGCAGACTGACAGGAAAAATACTACAGAGATAACAGATTTTATTATTTTATCTAAATTAGTTTTGACTGAAGCCTTCAGAACTCTTAATGATTTTTCGAGTTTCGTTGAGGGGCTGTGAGCTTCCCTTGCATGAGTGGGTTGGGATATTGACAATTTCAGTGTTTGTATTTTAAACATACTTAGTTCTATATTTATTCTACAGTCAACCTGATCCTTGTGAAACCTCTTTGTGCAGTACATCCCCGGTACCAAGATGGTGTTCCCTGGATTGAAGAAGCCACAAGATCGTGCTGACCTCATTGCATATTTGAAGCAATCTACTGCATAAGCAGTTTTTCATTTTACTAGTTCCACCTTTTCCATTTTGCAGTAATTGGAGGTCCCTTCAAACAAGGCGGATAGTACTTCTATATTTTTTTGCCAATAAATTGGACCGTCTAGGTCTGCAATTCTTGTTTGCATG